GAGGGTAACACAATTATACTTGACCCCACATGTAATAACAAAAGGCACATTCGTAATTTAAAGTTCCTATAAAATGAGCCACATTTAATCATACTACCCTATCATATGGTTGCCAACTTTCGGGGAAAAAACATCTGTGGGATTTTGCTTTGGGGGGGGGGGGCGTTTGAAAACATGGAGTCTCTAGAGTCTAGATCGTTGGAAATGGCATTTTCAGAGTCTTCTATACCTTATACACACAAGTTTTGGTAGCTTTTATTTATATATACAGATATGCTGTACAAAATTAAACCATATTGTTGAATACCGACGAGTACCAGGTTGCATGTAGCGATTTTTGATTATCTAATTTTTGCTAAATGGCCTGAATTTTTTCAAAAGAAATTTTTTTATGTAATTTGACGTAAATGAAGTCACTCTTAATAGTTAAAATGTGCAACAAAGGCAACATTTGCTTGCCGGGGGGGGGTACACACTCAGAGTAACATCACAAGCATCATATTCACCTGCGCCAGTAAAGAAGAAAGACTCACAAATAACGAACGATAAAACTATACGTTTTTACAGAGCAATTCGTATTCTCGAAGTACAAGCAGTCACATGAGTGACTAGCGATAAACCGGAAGTTCCGGTGTTTATGATAATGTCAATATAATTACTGCTGTTAAATAAACAATATCAATATGCCATATATGGCGCTGAGTACATTACACCAACACTGAAAAAATCAAATAATACTAATGAAAATAGTATAATGCTGTATTTTGAATTAATTAGTTATTAAATTAAAAGAAAGCAAAAGCGCTCAAGCGGGAAAATTGGGGGGGGGCCCTTCCCCAGAAGTGGGGAAACTCGTCCTTCCCCCTGCCCCCATGATCAATGTTGGAAAAAGTGGGTTAAATTTTCTCTTTTCAGTTATTCACACAACATTGAATTGGGGGTAAGGGGGCATTTATGCGGTTGTCTCAATAATTTTTGCTCCTGATTGTGGTATTGAGACTATATTATACCGGAGTGGTTTGCTGTAGCGTATTAACTACGAACCACTACTACGTTTGGTACTCCGGATGCAAATCAATACGCAACGGTAAATTGTAAACGCGCCCTAAGAAGATCATTTGCAAGTGAAAATGTTGTAACAACCAATATTCCCGTGAATCATGATTCAGGCGGTTAAAAATTAAACAAAAATTCTTATAATAGACAAGAATTAAGTAAACTTTTTATGAATGAAGTACTTTGTACTTTTTAATTTCTTGTTTTTGCTTGAAAAATGAGTACAGTGAGGACAAATTTAATGGTCACATTCAGTGCTCAGAACGCACGAAATGGCATTAATTTAGCCATGCTCTTCTGATAAAGCATGACCAAAAAATATAACACGTTTAAACAAAGAGCACAGTTGCAACAGGTCAGTGATCAACAAAATTGCGCAATATTACGCTGCGACTGTTATTTTATCTTTTGTGTTATTAGAAAGTTCAAGATATCGAAGATTTTAGACTATTTAACAAATTTAACTAAATGGAAGCGATGTGTCAACGCAACTAAGGCATATATATTTATTGCCACAAGACAAGGAGAATAATGCATATTTTCATATTTTTGGGAAAATGTTTGTCATGCCCATGGTTGAATATGTTTCTAAGTTTCCTGCATACTTAACAGTGTATGTATTGGCATATCAACACATTTGCACATAGCTAGTGGCAGTCTTATCTATGCTGTGTATATCTTAGTCATTCATTGGATTTACCAATGTGTAAAATTGGACATATGCCGGATTTCAATACATATGATAAAGCATGTACTGTACAGTATAAAGCTCTGTCTGTTCACCTATAATTACATTAATTGAAAGAAGCAAATGGCAAATGAGAGCCATATAAATTGGTGCATTACGATTGAGCGATCATGCTTGAGGGATGCACACATAGCTACATGCTGTACTCAGTACATTTTACCAGAACATTTTATAAGAACATTTTGCTAACATATCGTACTTATTGTTATAAAATATCTCACGAAAACCACACTCCGGCGATAGAAAGTTTAGTTAAAATTTCACGAGAACAAGTCTCCTAGCCTCTGGCTTAGGTTGATCTGGCGTAAACAATCATGCTTTATGTCACAGTAGCTGGCCTGCACTGAAGCATAGTTATGCAGATGTATTTACGATTAGTTGGATCAGTAACTATATGCTAACAACGATTTAAAGCGACTTAATTAAAAAGACCCAAAGCGACCTATAAGTGAAATTTAAAATAATAGGCAGACTATTTGCACACTTTTTTATGATATGATAACATATTGTTGGTTACTCCTGCCTTGAGTTTTGTAAATTGACACTCGATAAGAATGACCGGCAACGAACGAGTTATTTTGACCGATCGACAGGGCCGTAGCTAGAACGATAATTGGGGGGGGGTGTATATTCATATGTTCGTGTTCTGCTCGACGGATTTCTTTTGAAATCGATTGTTTTTACGTGCATGCCATATTGACATTCCCGTGGTAAAGAGCAAACTGCCTACTTGTGGCGACAGTGCGTGCAGGGCAATAGCGTTACGATCTACGACGCGCCGGCTCGACGACGCGCTTTCAAAACAAACAAATTTGTCATACGAGACAAAAACTGTGAATAATTCGTGGTCCCAGGGGTATTCTCAGCGGCGTTGTCATTCTCAACACAACGTTTAATCAGGCAACGTGAAAGCTTATAATAGTTGACCTGTACCGAAGGACTTAGCATAGCTTATATTCAGTTATGCAGATGTTTTATGTAAAAATCCAAGTTGTGATTGGTCGGACCAGTCAATATATGCTAACAACTACTTAAAGCAACTTAAAATAAGTGAAACTTAAAATAATAGGCTGACTATTTGCACACATATAACTATAGTGATCTCTTTCTTTATACAATACAATACAATACAATACAATACAATACAATACAATACAATACAATACAATACAATACAATACAATACAATACAATACAATACAATACAATACAATACAATACAAATTTATTTAGAACCTCCCCTCAGGGCTTTTCAGGTCTAATTACAAGTTTATAAGTTACAATTTACAAGTAATGAGGTTATAAGTTACAATATTTAGTATAGATATAAAATTGAGTGTATAAATTCAGAATTTAAAAAGTTATGTATTAGTTTTAAAAATTAGGCATTAAGGATCCAGGTCTTTAATGACTGTTTAAAAGTGTTCAATGAAGTACTCTCTCTAACATTGTTCGGTAAACTATTCCACAATTTAATAGCTCTGTATCCAAATGAACGTTGGGCAAAGCTTGTTCTACATTTTGGGATATCAAGATTATGGCTATTACGAGTGCTACGATTGTGTACGTCAGAACGTCTCTTTACAATTTTTTTTAAATACAACGGTACACTACCGTTAATAATTTTATATACCATTTGAGCATCACGATAAGCTAACATGTCCTGGACTGATAACCATCCAAGGTCTTTAATTGTGGATGAAATATGGTCAAATTCCTCTTGCCAGAAATTATTCTGGCAGCAAAATTTTGAACCAGTTGTAATTTCCTTATATTCTCTTTAAAGGTACCTGCCCAAACAGTCGAGCAATAATACAATTTACTAAACACAAGAGAATTGATTATAGATATCAGAGTTTTCTTATCGAATAAGTGTTGAACTCGGCTGATCTGACACAATGATCCCATAAGTTTAGATGTAAGATTCTGGGTATGATCGGTAAAAGAGAGACATTCGTCCATTATTATTCCAAGATCTTTTGCACAGCGAACTGGGGTTAATTCCTCACCAAGAAATTGTAATGGTGGTAGATTAATCTTGGCCAATTATTAATCTTGGTTCCAAACAAAAGAAATTTGGTTTTCCCTGGGTTTATTAACAAGGAATTTGAACAACACCAGGCAGCAACTCGTTTTAAATCTGCATTCAATTTGTTCATACTCTCGGCAATATCACAGATTGAGAATGATAAGAAGAGTTTTGAGTCGTCCACGAACGATTCGATCTTACAGTCCTTACACATGCTGCTAATTTCATTAACATACAAGTTAAATAGTAGTGGACCCAAGATTATCTTTGCGGTACGCCGTGTGTAACACGCTGCATATCAGATAAATGCTGTCCCACTCTAACAGATTGAACGCGCTCGCTAAGATAACTTCGAAACTAGACAGTAGCTGACGCACTTGTTCTAAACTTTCGAAGTTTTTCCAACAGGATATCATGACTTATACTGTCGAACGCCTTGCTTAGATCCAGTAATATCACAGCTCTAAGATTCTTTCTATCTATAGATTAATATATACACTCCGTTAAAAACAGCTGCAAAGTTTCAGTGGAATGGTTTTTACGGTTACCACTCTGGTGTTTATTTAACTTATTAGTTTCAATCAAATAATCAGTAAATTGTTCCAATGCAACACGTTCAGTGACCTTTGATAGTACGGGTAGCAATGAGATAGGTCGATTATACGATAACAGGTTGTTGGTTACTCCTGCCTCGAGTTTTGTAAATTGATACTCGATAAGGATTTGACCGGCAATTTATAAACCGATCGATTTTGTCGACCATGCCATATCGACCACGCGTACGCATGCAGTTCCCATGGTAAAGAGTAGACTGCCTTGTGGCGACAAACCGACAGTGCGTGCTGGATCTGCAAAACAACTTTTGTTATGATCAAGTGGAATAATATAACAAACTCCCTTGCCTGCCGTAGTTTAGTTGTTTGGTTAGGTTGTTGGGCAACCGCTATACAGGGTGTATAAAAAAAAGGTAATCGAACTTCAGCGCGCTATTGTATCTGAATTACTCTGCGTATGAACGAGATTTTTTCACATTCGGAAAGATCATGCTTTTAGCTGTTGAATGATATCTTCTTCGTACCAAATGGATAAAAAATGAGCAAATACGAATCTGATAAAAAATGTTAGTCAGAATCACATATTTTCACCGTTGAGAGTTGGGTCTAAAACCATTGAAAATGAACCCCCTTTAGGACTTAAGTTGATGAATTTCACTTCATTCAAACTGCACTACATATTCATAATAATTACTAAGTCGGAATAAATCTTAGCTAAGCTACGACACGTTCGTGATTAATTATGCATTGTTTTAATTAGGCACAGAGGTGAAAATATGCGATTTTGACTGACATTTTTAATCGGCCTCGTACATGCTTATTTTTTCTCCACTTGTCATGAAAAGCATGTCATTCAATAGCTAAAAGCCTGATCTTTCCGAATATGAAAACTAATTGTTCATACGCCGAGTAATTCACGTATAATAGCGCGCTGAAGTTCGATTACCTTTTTTTTTATACACCCTTAGCACTCCTAATCTTGACATGAAGGTTTCTCGCTCACTCGACCCAGTCTTTCGCGCCGATCTATGTATTGGCGAGATCGAGATCTTGTGTCTGTCCAGATGTCGTAATTCGGAGGGGGGGGGACGGCGGGGAGGGGGGAGTGCGAGAAAAATATTGAATTGCGTGCACATCATTTGCAAGCTTTTTTATACTCTGGATCTGAAAATGCATTACGAATACTTCCCGAAGCAACCATGTTAGTATGGCTTTATTTCTTTGTGCTAATATCCATTAAGGCGATGAACTGTTTGACGCTTATTCTAGAGGCAAGCAATGTGCTTTTATTTATCGGCGCTTCTTACAGCCCGAAATATCCCATTGTCCGCATGCTCGTTTAGAACATTTTAAAATAATGTCTTAATACAAAGAGACAAGATGTACTTAAGAGCTCTGAGGTATTGAAACAATATGATTTCATGAATTTACGGGCAGTTTTAATAATAGCCCACCTGATCTAATCTTCAATAATGCCTTATTTATACAAAGAGTCAAAATGTATTTAAATGTACTTTACAGCCAAGGCGATGAGTTTATATAGTGTTCATTTTCTACATGTTTATAGTTTAAAAACAAACGCAGAATGTTGTTAAATCATGAGGCTTACTGTAATAAGATTCCTAGAGCAACCCAGTATGGATTGTTGTCTGGACATATTGTCTATTAACTTATATTACCAGCAATTACAATTTACATGTAATAGTATGTATGTCAACTGACTTTTGTATAAGGCTTCTGAGATATGTCCATTGTTAGCATAAGATGAAATAATCCTACCGGCCTATATTCATATATTTATCTGGCTGTGTTACTACATTTTAGGGTATATGGTATTTTTTCGATAATGCTCACAATTTCTTTCTTATTAATATAGTTTTGCAGTTCTGACTGAGTACAATCTTAATCATTACAATGAATGGTGTCATTTGAAGCTGACATATTAGTCGGTTGTTCTGTGATATGGGCAGCCTGGAAAGTGGCGTTAAAACAATAATTGGAACAAACCCCGACTTAGTATTTTTATATAAACATTGTACAGTATTCAGTGATAAGCTAGCTATGGCAACTAGCCATGCAATGCTAATAAACCTGCATCTATTTGAATAATGCAAATCATTAAAAACTTGCATATCATGACCTGTTGCTATATGCCATATATGGCTGGCTCCACCACTGATAGTATTATAATTATACATACAAAAGCAAGCAGTTATAAACATTGAAGATATCCATATAAAACTGCACATGCTAAGAAAATGCCCACTGTAATTGGTGTTAAGCTGTTGTGGTGTCCCAGCTTCTTTAATGCAATTATTGTATTATGTTTGGAAGCGAAGCACAATAAATAAATAAATAAAAAAGTAGAATTCGAACATTTAGCCGACCCTTGACTTTGTGCAAGGTGTTTGATATTCAAATTATACTTTTCCTACCTCCTGAACAGGCGTATTAGGGGCTGTTCGCATGATGGAGGAAGGACGATTTTGATGTAAATATTGAAATATTAGTCACCTAGGACCAGTTGTTCAAAGGTAGGTTAGCGCTAACCCTGGGTTAAAAATTAACCTACTGTTTTAGTCTATGTATTTCTGCATGTCTGTTTATTTCAAGACTTCAGAGAAATTCTATCGAAGAACTATCGATCCAGACAAGATTTCTGAAAAAATATTTCCAAGTTTATAAACAAGCTGTCAGGAAGGTATGCTTTGAATTTAAGGTTAACCTAGGGTTAAGCTAACCCAGCTTCGAACAACCGGCCCCAGGTAAAAGAAAGTTCAAAGGCTGATGAACAGATCTCAAATGTTGTAGAAAAGATCTTGTGGTTCAAGAAGGTTATTATGCTTGAACAACCTTTCATTTACAGTTAATTATAGTTTTTTTCTGAATTATGCACTGTGACTTATTTCAGCACATTGAAATCATCCTGCTCACATATATCCTGGCAAAGTGGGATCATATAAACAAACCCTTATTCAGCAAATTGCGCATGCTGCTTTTCATCCCTTGGGGCGAGGCAGCATTTCCTTGCGATAGTAACTTCTAGTATAATCTATAGATCAGAACTCCTCGAAAATTCACGCCAAACGGCATGAAACTTGGTTTATTGAGGTTGTAATAATTGTAACCAAATATACTCAACACATGTCAAAACACAGAACATAGTCTTAATCTGCACATATTGTGATATAGTCGAAATTGGTTGTCGCTGTGCAAAGAAATTGCTGGCGCACGTGATATTTTACAAAAATTTGAAAATTTGAAAAAACAACGAGTGAAATTTTAACTTATGATTTTGCATTTTTAAGACAGCGATCAAGGAAATTAAATTGTAGGAAAAACCTCACTAACATCTCAAGCTTGGAAAACATCTACATTATCAGCATTTAAATTGTGGATTGATTCAAACTTCAGGCGATAAATTTACATAGCTATATATAGGAGTTGACTTTTGTGTTTTTCGAATATCTATTTTCATTCGCGGATTACCACAACTTGTTGGTCCATAAAACAAATAGATTTAGAAATAAACTTTATTCAGTCAAAAGGATGAGGGTAAAGAAACATGCTACTGCGTGATGGTGATTTCGAAACAACTTTGTCACATATATTTTAAAAAGTGGGATAATGAATCAAATTTTGCTTTTTGCATTCCCTAAAAGGTATGAAAATTATTTAAATATTTAAGGTTTCCGTGTTTATAATGTTCAAAATTTACTATAGTCAAACACCAAAGCTTGTTTACACTTCCACTCCTAAAGTTGCACAATCAGTATGAAAAATCGGAAATAAATAGCTGCATATATCATACCCGATTATGCTAGGTGGTTGCGAGGTCTACGCGTGTTTGTCTTTTTTGGGTCATTGTCATCATCATCTTGATCATTATCAGTTGTTTCTGCTGTTGTCGTGAAATTATAACTTTCACAAAGTTGCATATCATCTACAAAAACAAAAGAATGTAACCATTTGCGTTTTTATGACCTTTTCTAGCTCAGTGGTATCAAGTAACAAAGTAACTGTACTTCGTTACTGTACTTGAGTACTTTTTGAGAAGTCAATGTAAGAAAATGTAACAAAGTAAACTTTTTCTGGAGTACTTTTACTTGGAACAAAGTCGTTTTAAGAAGTACAGTAACGTTTTACTTCGTTGTCTTCATTTTGTGACGAAGTATTTCGTTACTTTCTAACTTTTGTTCAATTTGACGTGATTTATTCTGGATTTATTTTAATTTTGGGATAGGTAATAGGACCTGTACATGTGTTTTCTTTAAAGTGGTAGGTACTAAGGCAGTAACAGTTATATCTTACCTGATCTGAATTTAACCTTAACAAGAGGAAAGCTGTGCCATTGAGATGATGGTACTCTTTGCTCCGATCTTACTCGTATAGAACACTCATTCCATTTGGCCACCTTACATTCTTGTCCTGGACCCAAACCTCAGGAATCACACCCTCTTCCTCAATGCCACCTTCTAACCAAACTGCTCTCACCCACATTGACATTGTTCAAAGCCTGTAAAAGAAAGAACCATATTAAATCAGGGAACAAAATATAAATAATTTCTTGTTTCCTAACCTACAATCAAATTTCGTCCATTATACATTATACTACCAAGGCTGATTCACATTTTAAAATTGAATTACATTCTATACTTCGGAAATCCTTTGGTTTGTCAGCTTTTAGCTGTTATGTGTAAGCCTCGTTAAATTAAGTTATTACGATAAAATACTACAATTTGGCAACAAATCAGCCTATTCTACATTATGCAGGATGTACTGTAAGATATGCTTAAAAATATAACATACCATTAAAACTAGCCTCAGACATTGATTGTGTCATGTCCGCTCAACTTCATGAAGTAGTGGATAAAGCACATATCCAGCATCACAAGGAAGGCAAACAACCTTACAAACCAGGTCATCCCTCTCAACCAATTGTCGTTTAGATCCATGAGTTATGTCTCTTGCATATGCAATGGAAAAAATCTTAGATTGAGCTGTCAGCAAGTAAGAAGCAACGGTCTTTCTCTTTGGTCGAAATAACTGTGAAGCGCTGTTTGACTGAACATTTTGGGTTGTTGACAGTAATTTCTCCCAACCGCTTTGCAACTTGCACCAAAGGATTGCCACCACTTCGAACTAGTTTTTTTCAGTTTTTGAAGAAAATTCTCAAACTGAAAACAGGATATCTCATTGAGAGAGCACTGGAAGAAACTCACATCCTCATGGAGATGCAGGAGACCATGCACATTGTAGACTGTAAATGTTTCCCCATAGACTGCTTTGCAATTCTTCACAAAGAACTGCATCAATTGGCGTGCATAGTTCAAAAGTGAGTTGCGTCTATCTGCATTGCTTTCAAGCATTATGGAAATAGTGATGGATAATGAGAGGAAATGCTGATAAAGCTTAGTGGAGACTACACCTTTCAAAGCAATGGGGCCAGTATACAGCAAAAATTGCCGAAACTCGGTTGCTTTCCGTCTCTCAAGCTCATCCAAGGATCGCGGTTGTCTGGCAAACTTACTTGGCATTTTCCCTTTTAATGAGAGAAGGTTGGCAGATATTTGGGCTAATTGCACTGAGGAAAGCTTACATTCTCTGGGGCCATTCTTCAGAAAGTGAAGAATTCTTCGAGTTACACCCAAGCATACCATATGCATATAATCGAGAGCAAAACCATTAATACATGAAACACCATGACAAATAAGAGGTGTTTGTCCTTTCTGGTGAGCTTCATAATCATAGTTGGCAAATGCCTCTTCAGTGCGCAGAGTAGCAATGTCACCAGAGTTAAAAACAACACGGCCTTTCCACGTTCCCTTCATTTGACAACGCTCACACGAAAAATAACCAGTGTGACCAATAATAGCCTTCAAGAAACAACGGGACGGTGCATCACATGAAAAGCAATGCAATTCGACTTTGTAGGTCTTTGACCCAAAAGTAATTCCTTCTTTCTTCAATGCATCAAGTTCCTGAAGGAAATCATCCATATATTCTTCTAGGGAACTTGGTTTGGTTTTCCCATAATAAAGACCAATAACAAATACATCAAGGTTATTAAAACTGCCTAATATTGGCCAGAACTGATCATTGGAGGATTTAAATAATGGACGTCCATCAATGTTAATGATTAGTTCAAGGGAGATACCATTTTCTAATGCACCTGGATGCGCTGAAAGGACCTGGGTAATTCCATGTTTAATACCAAAGTAGATATACTGGCCACCACATTTTGACAAAACAGTCACCTCTTTTGGCGTCCCCAAAAGAGTTCGCGCATCCTTAGGTAAAGCATGTCCCTGCTTTTTCAACAATGCAAGAAGATCGTTAACTGCAGCTCGTTTAACCTGGTATTTTGTCGCCCAGGATGCTAGCTCGTCATTAAATGATTTCGGCTGACTATTGGAACAATTGCCTTCTGTGCTACCGCTTTGCTGCTCTTCATCAGAGCTAGTTCCTGAGGAGTAACCGAACTCATTGTCCAGGTCTGAACTATCAAAGCCTGGAAAACCCTCAACAAATTATGTTTCATTATGATGCTGCTCATTTTGGCAATCCTCATCACTGCTTTCAGCATTGGCAACAGCACTAGCCTCAGCACTGAACTTTCGATAATTTCTCCAATATGCCATTGATTCAAATATCCTGAAATATTCAGGAGACAACATTTAACTTTTGCTTCATTTACATGCATAATTAACCCATTCAGTCCCATTGCGCCCTCATGCGTGCTACTTTATTATTTTACTTTACTCGTCAATGGGAGAGCGCTGGCGCTTGATGGCTTAACTGGCTTATCTGCCCATGTTTCTAGTTAACCCATTGAGTCACAATTTGTACCCTGATGCACCCTACTTTATTATTTTACTGTCTAACGCCAGATTATTTTACTCTGTCTAACGCCAGATGATTTTACTCGTGAAGAGGAGATCTAGCTCTGGTGCTTAATTAATAGTTAAGATATCTATTAGATATATTTAACTCTTTCTCGACCTACCGGTTTCGCATTACAATTAAACATCTATTACATCATTATATTTAATTATTTAAAACTATCTATTAGATATCTTCAGACATTGTTACATCATTCTATTTGATTATTTAAAATTCAGACAGTGGACACTGGACAGTGTTTAATATTTGGATTCAGTATTGTATGTATGTGATAATAGATTGCAACTTTTTGACAGCATTAGTATCTAAAAGGATGGCTCATTGTTACAGTTTATACCTCAGTTGAATGCTTAGTTTATGCCAAAGTTAATTCAGAAGAAGAGCTTTTTAATCTCAGGCTTTGTGTCCCTTAGGCGAGGTTTTGTATCTAATAGCTTGGTCACAGTTGTTGTTATTGTACAAAATTGGGACAAACAGACCTAAATTGACTTTAAAATAAATGCAAATTGAACGCATTTCTATTGTTAAGCGTGCATGTCAGAAATGCGGATAATTAAATTACATGTGTGTCGTCAAATGTAATATGTGCTATTGAGACCTCAAAAGTTCAAAACAAACAAGCTCTTCTATTTCTCATAAATTTTATTTGCCAGGCCTATAAAGTTTAATTTACAGCTTGTGTTATTGAAGAATGAGCTGATCATTCCTCAAATGCCATATAGGCCATTGCCATTATTATAATGTTTATAGCCAGAATCTCAGAATTGGATGTCCGCTAGGCAGCTTTTATGTCATTTTAACTGTGTATTTGGTTAAAATTAGAATGCTGTTTTTAGGGTTTGTAATCCAAGTGTTTGTAATCCCTTCAATTTCTTAACAGTTAACAGGGTTATTTAATTATTACAGTCTAAGTGTCAACTTCACTGATATTTAATGCTATCAGTATGCACTCAAATGCGAACTACGGGAACTACAATGTCATTATTATCATCATTGGCTGTATCATCATGGATTGTAAAATAACTCATCATCAGGAGTTTTGGTGGTTTTAATTCAATATTTTACATAATATCACAAGAAATGCATGAATTATATATGAGTATTTTTAGTTCATGTTGGCAAGCAAAAAAATCTATTTGCTATCCACTTTGCTAACTATCGAGTCCTATCGACCTTAAAATTTTCTTACAATCTTCATGACTTTTCTTGACTTCAAAAAAATTCTTTTCAATGAAATCTGGACATTTGTTTCAATGTGGAAACACTATTCAAAATGGCGACTCGCAAGTCATACTACATAAGTCATAAATACAACGTTATGACGAATGCTAGACTTGTGTTACAGCACTATTTAATGAACAAAAATGTGGGGAGACTACTAAAACATTAACTGCTATCCCGATTTTTAAAAAGATGTGGTATCCCATCGGGATACAATCATACAAGTAAAATAAACTTAGTATCCAAAACCAAATATCAGTATCCCGTGGATATCGGGATACCGCAAATTTCAGACCCTGCCACCTTATAACAACCCGCACACCCGATCACCTATATATACATGAACTTACGGTTACAGCTCAACAGCTGGCCTCTGTAGCTCAGTTGGTTAGAGCGCTGCACCGGAATCACAGGGCCGTAGGTTCAATTCCTATGAGAGGACCTTGTGGCGGATTTTTCGCAGTCGTTCCTGGTCAGGTCTTAAAATGTATATCTACTCACTTCGATTACAGTACAAACCCTAAAAACAGCATTCTAATATTAATTCCACCAAATGAAGTGCAGTAACCAGATTATAATTTGGTTAATTTAAAATGCAATGCAATACAGATGCGACAGGGCATAATTGCACTGTTCATGTGATGAAACATGTTATTTAGCTGCAACTATACAGAATAACTATACTTTCACAATGTATTAGAATCAATAATATATTATTGAGTCAAGTTAGTATTGGTCGAGTAGATTGGTCGAGTTGGTCAGTTGACTAATTTGATAAGCTTTCACAGACTTCAAAGCCTAAATTGGCAAAGTATGTTTTACATAGCATGGCCACACATGAGTCGATCATGAATCACAAAAAATTAATTAGCCCAATCCCAGATGAAACAACTAACAAATACCTTATTATTGTGGATCAATTTAGTCAGGTTTTTTTTAGAATATTTCCCCACTTTAGAAATAGTTTAAATAATGTGTGTCACCGTCATGCTTTGCACGCTCAAATCTACTTCACTGTTTTCACAGCCATTTTAAAGATATGCGGTATACAGTCCGTATGTAAACAAAGGCTTTGTTTACATTTCCATTTCCAAAATATAGAATTTTATTCGACAACTAATATATAATATTTTCATGATTCTAGAATATAATAAATTATGAAGACACAACAATCAAGCTTTGCAAGAACATAAAAACTGTTTGTATAATAGGGGCTCCTTTGTGCACATGCGCAGATCAGACTGTACAGCATCTTTATGGCCATAGCAAATGGCCATGGTATTGGAAGTTTCTATTTTCAATCCATAATATATTTCAATCATCCTAGGAGTATACTTGCTCATTTTAACTTATTTGTGCTGAAAATGAATCAAAGAAATATTTTCCATCGTCATTTTGTTCCTGTTGAATGATATCCCAAGGTGAGGGTCTGATTTTCAGTCGCCATCATGGAAATTTCGTTTTTTCCGCCAGGCAATAGTAAACTTATTAAAATATTTTCCGCCTAAGGCTATGCTTAAAGCTTTATACTTTCAGGCCTAATACAATACGTAACCAGTCCAATACAGAGCAGGATTACAAGTGTGTGTTACTATTAATATGTATAAAATCAGTTATAAATTAAACGGGGAAAATCTAAATTCTAAAATAGTAAACAGTATTACGGTAAACCCTTCCTCGGTTCATTCTAGAAATATCTTTCATCAGTTTACCTCATTACTAACCTTATTGATGTACTATAATATTCTCACGAATAAAAGATAAACCAACACTGTCACTAACAGATAATTCGCTTCGGGTTTCTTCGCTGTCTTTCGCTTTGTCTCTGTTGCTGTTGCCTGTTGACATGTCATGTGCGGGCACGCTATAATTTGCAGGTTCATGCGCGCTGACGCTGACCGAAAATGGCAGGCTCGTTTCTTGAGTTGCCGTTTTTGCCGCCACGAAGAGCAAAAATATTATAATAACTGAAAATGGATGTGATAAAAGCATTACATGTTCACCGCAGCTTTGGGCTGTGTTCGCTATGACTTCACTTGATCATTACACGCGACGACTGCCAAATAAAAACACAGCAATGTCGTTCATCTGTTCGGAAACAGCGTTTGGCATCATACCATGCCATAATAGCAATATAGGACAATATATAGACATTAGCAATTTTTTCGTAATATAATTGCCCTGTTCCTATAGCCACCATGAAAGTTTAAACTTGGCCATGGGAATGTGACGAATTTCAACGTCGAAACAACGTTTAATTATCGACGTCGATCCGACGTCGAAAATACGTCGATCGACGTCGCGACGGAATTTCGACCAGAATTCGACGTCGATTCGACGTCGGGTGCCCACTGGACTATGTGACTACTCACCCTTCAGCTATTCAAAAATGGCATCGACACTCAAGAGAAGCTCATGAGATTGAACCTCCACTCACTGAGTGTGAGTGCATGAGTTTTTAGAATACAGGCGATAGTCTTAATCTGCACTTATTTTTCACCCTGCTCGGTTTCCTTTGTTCTTATATCGGGAAATATATTCAATATCTCCCTCTAATCAATTTCCCTCTAATAATCCCCTCTAATTTTCACCTACAATGTCTTTGCAGCACAAAAAATGAGAAAAAAACAACATCACGAAGGAAATATGGCATTAAGAATTATTTCTATTGTGACTCATTAACGCGACCTCGCAATGTGCAAAATAAGTACGTTTGCGCGCCTCGGTGAATAAATCACATATCCCCTCGTTGCCTCGAAATAACCAATACATATTGTGATATAGAACAATTGCTATTTGCATGTTATGATGTCTGGTATACAGGGTGTCCCAAAAAAAGTACCCTCTATAGAAATTATCCTATTGTTTAATTTGAATGCCTGAGCACTATGCTGAACATAAGAGTGGGTAAACACAATTGAATTGAATTTTTAATTACCAGGCGCATGAAATCCTATGCTTAACAACAATAAGATAATTTCTATAGAGGGTACTTTTTTGGGGGACACCCTGTATAATACTCATTGTCGATCAGGTGTCGATGTTATTGAGTCAATTTGTTTGTCCAACAACATTTGAGCAATATATATGAGAAATTGAGAATACTATCTTAACAAAAGACCAAACTTGTGCCATCAACCCTGCAGATATTCACATATATACATGTCATACAGTTAAATTAAAAAAGTAAATCATATAGGAAACGATCAAAGCATCAGAAATTGAATGATTATAAGATCCATGGAGATAGCATGGATGTAGTATATGTAAAAACAAAGCATACCCCATTAAAAGACTCATGTGGGATTTGCAAGGCAATCATATTCAAATGATGGACAGTAATTTCAACTATTCGACCATATGATTCGACAGTGCTT